AAGTTCGGTACGGGGTCCCCTGGAAACGCGGGTATTTGGGGGATGGGGCGTACCCCGGCTTCCCGGGAAGGGTCGTTAACCTGAGATGACCCCTGAGCATTCTTCCCCGTTTGTCATTCTAGGGGACTCCAGACACAAGTTATGGTGTATTATGCAGGGCAGCACAAGATTGGGGTATGTGGCGCTTTGACCTTGGGCACCCCAGTGTGGGGGCAGCAGGACAAGGTGCAGACAGAGGGGGAGCGGGGCCCTGACCGATTGCAGGGCCTGTCGGGGGACCCCTGAAAGGGCCATAGTTTTCTTGGAGCGGGAGGTGGAGAGAGATTTCCCGACAGTGGGGTTGAGCCCATCAATGCTGTAAGCCTAGGGTCCCGCTTTGGGGGAAAGGGAGACCAAGTGAGTGGCGGGGGCAAGTGGAGGATGTGGCTTTAGAGCAGTTGTGGACGGGTTTTTGGAGACGAGAGAGTTGAGGTGATTACAGTGGGTGGAAGTCCCAGGGAGAGCAAAGACGAGGGGAGGAAATCAGTGTGGGGGTGCCGCTTCTAGGGAGTGGTGCCCGTGGTCGAGGTGGTGGGGAGGACTTGTGGGGGCATTCCGACCAGAAAGGTTTGCAGAGAGTTTCGGGAAAGAGGGCGGCAAGACTCTGATTCCGAGATGTCTTGACCCGGGCGGGTGGGGGAAAAGGAAACCAGGGGCTGACGTGGTGGTGGAGGGCCACAGGTGTGTCCATCAGGTGTTCGACTGGGGGTCGAAACGGGTTTTCGCCCACCTCACTTGGAGGGTGGTGGGAAAAGTGGAAGGCTGGTAAGGGCCCCCTATAAAAGGGGTTTCCCATGGCAGGTGAAAAACCCTTCACGAAGGTTTCAGGTGTATCATGTAAATGTAAATGGGTGGTGCGAATGTGAAGGGGTTGTGGCTCAGGGGTTTTGAGGCGTTATCCCATAGATACTGTGTTTGTTCAGGGCAAATTTTAAGGTTGGTGGGGATTTGAATGGGCTGGATATGCGGTTTGTGGTTTGGGAAGTTTGAAGAGTGAGGTTGGGATTGTTTTCGGGAGACGACCCCGTTTTTTGAAATTTAGATGTGAGGGAGGGGAGGAGGGTGGGTACTCATGGTAGATGGTGGGGAGGGTGAGCCTGGCAGGGGTTTTTGTGTGTATGCCCCGGTGGGGGGTTGCGATGTAGGATGAAGAATGAGTTTGTGCGTGATTTTTGAATTATTTTCGCCATCTCTTCCTCGGTAACAATCGTAGGCGGTGTTTGGAATTGTGTAGTACGTAAAAAGGTTTTGAGGCCACGGGGGGCGGGTGTTTTTTGGTTTAGCAAAGGGGATTTTTTGTGGACTGGGGAAAGGGATGTTATTCGAGGGGGGACCGATGGTTGAGCATCTTTTTATGACGGGGATTGCGGCCAGGCTGATGGTTATATTTTGACGAGAAGTGTGCGGGTGATGTGCGTTTCGAGGTAGATGTGTATACATGGATCATGAGCTGTTTGGGGATTGATTTGGGCCAGTTGCCAAAAAGGTATCCAGGTTTTGGGAATTTAAATGTGAGATTTTGGGGTGGGGAGGGGGGTTTGTTTTGGGCAATGGGGGGGAATTTGTGGGGGAGGGTAGGGATGTGGGTGGCTTACTGGGGTGCTGGGGGTGGGGTAGTTTGGAGAGGACCCGGGAAGTTTATGTGCGTGGGGAAAGTACCAGGGTTGGATGACGTACGGGTTGCAGCAGTTTTTCGAGGGTGGTTTGAAAGGGTTTGTTATGAGGGGGCGTGCAGATAGGGCGTATCCCAGGGAAAAATCGAGTTTTTTAAAAAGGGAGGATTCGAGTTTTGCAGATGAAGATTTGATGGGTGGAGCGCGGGTGGATTTGAAGGGCGGTGTGGGGTGATCCCCCATCGGGTGTGTTACGGGGAAAGGCGCGCCGTTTTGGCTATGGAAATTGATAGGCGGTGGTACATGAGGACTTAGGTGGATATAGGGCGGACGGATTTAAAAGAAAAATGGAGGAATGAGTGATTACTGGATAGGGGGTTTTGGAAGAAATTTACTGAGTGCAGGGGTGGTTTGAGGGGCTTTGGGGGGTTGGGGGGAGAATTTTTGTGGGCTAAGTGGCATGATCGCATGGCTTTGGGGGGGGATTTGAAAAACGGGAGGTGTGGAGGGCTTTAGAGGGGATGGCACGGGTAAGGCACCTTTTTTGGATGGCTTGCCTGCGAGTTTTATGTGAGCATTGGAGTGTTAAAGTCCTTTTGTAGAACAAATAATCGATAAAAAGGGGAGGGAGGTTGGGGGGTTGCAAGGGGAAGCGGTTGTGGTTTTGTCCCAAAAAGGTGGCGACAAGCCCCGTGCGGGATTTTGGGATAATATCTTTGCTGTGTGTGATTATGATTTTTGCAATAATTTGGAAATAGGCTAAAGTGGTGGTGGAAGAGGGGTTTGTGAGGGGTAATATGGTGTTTGGGAGGGATTTTGGGGCTGTTTTATAAAGACATTTTGTAAAAAGGTGTGGGGTGTGTGTAAGGAAAGGGGAAATTTGGGGGGGAGTGGGTATCCGGGTTGGGGTTTGCAGATTTGCCCCTGTCCAAATTATTGTTTCCTTTAACAGACCCTTTTTTAGAGGGTCGGAGCGTGTATGGAGGTGGTTGGGGAGGGAAAAGTGAAGGCAGGGAATAATGGGTACGTGGTGACACGACAATACTCGTGCAAACGTTGGGGGTTTTAGGCGTAAGGTGTTATTGATAATTTCGCGGGGGTTACCGGTTTAAGAGTTAAGTAGAGAAATCAAAATTATGGTCTTTGGAATTTGGGGGGGAGAGGGTTGGGGATGGAATGTACGGGGGGTTTGGGTTGGTGGACAGAATTAAAAGGTGTGGGATAGGTATGGGTTTTTGCGAGAGGGCGAGGAGGTTAAATTTGGACTTGTTGGGATCGAGTGGTGGGGGGATTGGATGGGTTGGACCCAATCATTTGACGTAATCGGTGCGATTGTTGTGAATGTGTTGTTATACAGTAAAGTTGGCACGTGGCGCGTATATCCGTTAGCAGTCCCGGATGTTAAAGAGGCTTTAAGGAGGGTTTTCCATTTTTTTTTGGGGTTCCCGGGTGTGAATGGTGAGGGAGTGTGGTTACCCTACCCGGTCAACAGAGGAGGATTGGGGTTGATTGATTTTCGGCTAAAAAAGCAAATGTATTATTTAAAAAGGGGGTTTTCGGTGTGCGGGGGCAAGCGGGGGGGGCGTGAATGACTTACATGAGAGGGCGAATGTGGGGGGGGAGGGTCGGGTGAGGGTGTGTGAAGGGCTGTTGCGGGCGTTGTTGCATGTCCGGGGCCCTAATAAAGTTTGGGTGGGTGTATTGAGCGTGTGTAGGGGCGAAGGTAGTCGCGAAGGTGAGGGTATTACCCTAGTATGGTGGGAGGTATATGGGAGAGGTTCGGTATGCGGTGCGATTAAATGTGCGAGGGGTATTTTTCCTTTTTCTCCCTGGTATACTGCCCTCGGGTGCGCACTTAAGGAAAGGGTTGATGGTGAAGGCGCGTGTCGGGTGTGTGGGGTGAGGAGCGGCCCTTTCGTGTAGTGTATTTTTGTGATAATTTTGGGGTATCGGGGGTGGATGGGTAAAAGGGTTTTGAGGACGTGAGAGGGGGGAGGTATCGTATTGAGGGCGTTAAGTTTGGAGTGGGGGCTAGGGCCTGTGCAAACGTGCAACAGTATATAATTGCGTATTTTGTTTTTGTATCCCGGGGGGGAAAGAGGGGAAGGGATTGGGAGGTGGCAAAGGGTGTTGGCGGCGACCTTTTTTAGAAGTTGGGATTTGCGGGGAAAATATGGAAGTCGCTGGGAAGGCTTTTTCAGCAGGGTATGTAGTATGAGTGTGAGAGATTGTTTTAAATTAAGTTTTGAAGGGGGGGTTTTGAAGTTCGGGGATGGAACGGGTCGCTCGGGGGTTGGGGATGCACAAGGGGGGTGTTGTGTGTGTTTGTGTTTTGGGTGGTTGTGGTGAATGTGGTTGTGTGAGGGATGTGGTGGTTTCAGTTATATAAGTGTTAAGTGTCTTAGTCAGAGTATACTGCCTTCTTTCTTTTTTGAAGTACTTGATTTTTCCTTTTGGTTTGCCCCTTTGGCAAAGGGGGTTTTTAGTTTTGTCGAGCTTTTATTGCTATATTTTTAATGTGTATAGCCCCGTAGGAATTCGGAAAGCTTTGGTTTTCTGTTTGTGGCTGATTTAAGATTGTGGAAAGGGGAGATGTGTGTGTAGGGGAAAATAGTATGGGGAGTTAGTTGGTAGAGTATGTACTTTTTTTATTGAGATTGTGATGTAGGTCCTTTATTTTTTGATTATTTGTGTGGTTTTGAGAAAAAGATATATTTTCGTTATATTTTTTTTTATTGTACCTTTTTTAATATGTCGTAATATTAGGGACATGTGTTACCTGAAGGGATTTGGCTTTAAATTTTGTGTTTTTTTTTTTTACATTATATTTTGACCCTGTAAGGGGTACCCGAGTTATGTCATTGTTGTTGTTCTTGTGAAAAAGGGATTTAAAATTACCATCTTTCTTAATGTTATGTTTGTCATAAGCGATATTTTCAAGTGTATTTTTGTAACCTCTTTGTGCTTTAATATTTTGTTTGTTATTTTTCTATTGTACGTCCGAGGGATTGTGATTCATAATGAATTTATTTAAATGTATATACCCTTGTTTAAGGGGGTTTTTTGTTAAGCTTTTTATTGTGTTTTAAATAAAATATAAAAAAAAATTACATATCCATTTAAAACATTGATCAAGAATTGGTCATACAAAACAGGGAAAACCCCCAAATACATGACAAAACCTTCGGGGTTCCACTTTCATTCATTACACAAAAGTAACAATAAGTATCAACGAACTCTAAAGTCCACAACCAACATCCATTACAACCCGGAAAAACAATCCATACAAACATTCACCGCTTTTTTTGCCCCCCCCATCCAGGAGAGAGCTGCTAGCCACGGGTTACAATGTATTGCTTCGGCAGTACATATACTTAAAAATTGGAACGATACAGAGAAGATTAGCATGGCCCCCGCAAGAATGACACAAAAAAATCTGAAGCGTTCCCCCATTTTTCCCATTCGCGCCTAAAACAGTGGTGGAGCCGGTTGTGTTACAAACCCCCCTTTCTGTTTTCGGCGAGCTTCATAGGAACAACATGGGGCTGAGTGTACGGCGTAGGTGAATATGTCGGCGTTGAACGCATCGTGGGGCGATTTCCCCCTTACGGACAAGTGTTGTACCGCGATCATCAGAGATACGGGAAAACAGGACGACGAGGTATATGGTGTTGCCTGATGGGGCTACAGAATCCTTAAATTTAAATTTGACGGCTGTGTAGAGTCGTTGGTGAACAAAATCCCCGAAAAGAGTCTAGATGCAACCCAGCTGTAAGAGGCGTCTATAGAGTCTCTCGGATTTTTCGTGCGTGAAGTTGGCAAAAGTCCCATTCGGGCTGCGGGCTGACATAAGGAACGTGTTTGGTGTATGGTACCCGGGATTGGTAACCAAGGCAAGTGGGGGAGGTGCATAACGGACGTCCGGAGGTACATTTTCCCTCAAAATGACTCTGAAAGGGATCCATCCCGTCTTACGTTGTGATGAAAGGGTTCCCGACCAGATTTTGTTCTTATGTGGGCAACGACGTAGTGCAGGCTGTTGGGGGGTAAGATCACAGGGGCGGCGTGTGGCAACAGAGGGGGGGATGGGCAGGTGGTGGACACCGTTACAGGGGGTGGAGCCGTGTGGAGGGGTCCCCGGGCAAATGAGGGAGTGGCCGTCTGGGGTGATATAGCTGAAGATACCATTTTGGTGAAATTTTGGGGGTGCCTGGTGTGTTGGGCCCGAATGGCCACTATGCCGTGACGGGGGGGGAAGTGCTTGTGCAGCAGGAGGGATTGCGAGGAGGAAGAGCTGGCGAGGTTTTTAAAAACTTTAATCCTTGGGGAG